AAAAACAAAATGACCAGAATTCCAATTCCTCTTAAGCTGATCTTGTAATCAAGAAGGGGAGTTCTCTAAATAAAAGGATAAATCTTTACTGGTTACACAAAGGGAATCATTCTTCTGGCTGGCACACGGAACAATTATCAGGTTGGTTATGCTCTTGTGAGAATGGCATTTCCTTATGGCCCTTTAAATGTTATTGCCTTTCATATTATGACTATTAGTCATTGTGATCTGATATAGCTAGAACCTATCTACTATTTCTTGTGAGGCTGCTATGCATTAGCTGATTGATTCAGATCATTCAAAGCAATGTTATAAAATAAAACCCCTGTGTTTGAAAGGGGAAATAGGATGGCTACAGTGTAAAGGAAATCATAAGACACTCTTGAATATGAAAACATTTCCATCCTTGTGGTTGGTTGCTTGGTAACTAACATTCTAGCCATGTGCAAAATGTTGCTGCAGTTAGAGTTCATTAAGCCCAGAGGCTCCGAGATGAGAGTCAATTCCATTGCATATGCCAGAAAACAGTTCTTAAGGGACAGGGTAAACAGAGGTTAAATGACTTGCCTAGAATCATATAGCTAATAGATGTTTGAAGCTAGATTTGAACTTGGGTCTTTCTGACAGCAAGTCCAGTTGTCCACTATGCCACTTGACTGCCTCTATAGAAACAAAAATAAGTACCACCTAGTAACAAACACAAAAAACAAATCTACAAATTGGCCATATGTAAAAATGTATATTTCTGATTCAATGCCTCTGTTATGTCACTTCTCCTGCTTCAAGATGAGAAGTATGATCCATTATCAGACTTCCAGGGTTCTAATTGGTCATTGTGTTTATCATAGTTCTTAAACTTTCACAGTTGCTTTTTTTTATGATGTTAGAGTCAGTGTATAGATCATCCTCCTAGTTCTGCTCTCTTCATTTTGCATCATTTTATAGAAATCCTCCAAGGTTTCTCTGAATTGGTCCCTGTTGTCATTTCTTTTGCTATAATAATATTCCATTACATTTGTATACCATAATTGTTCAGCAGTTCCCCAAATGGTGGGCACTTGCTTTGCTTCAATCTCTTTACTATAACAAGAAGTGATGCTATACATATCTTTTGTACATATGATCCTTTCCTTCTGTCTTTGATTTCTTTGCAATATATACATATGTGTCACTGAATAAAGGTATATACAGTTTAGCAAAATTTTAGGTATTCTTCCAAATTGACTTCCAGGATGGTTATATGACTTCACAACTGCACCAACA